TGAAAAAAGAAAGACCCATTCGTTTCGGAATTAGTCATCGATTCCAAACACCTCGCAAAAAATTTTGGGAATATTAAGCTTACAATATCAACGAATGAAGCATTTTGATGGTTCGTTATTAGCTCATCAATCTATACTTAAATGCGAGTCACTAACTTAACACTCACTTTTTCATTTCTGTTTCTCCGTACTGATAAGTCCTAGAAAGCTAAAATTTGGTATATAGGTGCTTCTTATGTCTCAGATGAGCAATAAGAAAGAATTTTCAAATATTTCAAGTGAGGCGCCAGCCGCGGGGAAAAAGGCAAGTTCATAAAATAAAGTTACATTTTCATCACTATTTCCCTGTACCGTTATACTTTCAGAGGATGAAATGTATGCAGGTTCGTTTTATATTGTAGATGTGCAATAAGAAAGAATTTTTGAATATTCAAACTGGGTAGCCAGCCGTGTGGAGAAAAGGCGCGTTCATTAAATAAAGTTAACTTTTCGTCACTGTTTTTCCTTACCGGTATATTTTCGGAAGCTGAAATTTTGTATGTGAGTTCGTTTTATATTCCAGATAAGCAATAAGAAAATAATTTTTAAATATTCCAACTGGGGCGCCAGCTGCGGGGAAAAAAGATGCGTCTGTGAAACGAAATTATCTTTTCACTACTGTTTCTCCAACTTCTGGTAAGTAAATTCATAGGTAGTATCAGCATTGCACCCGTGCGGAGCCGAGATGGATTGCTAGTATACTATATTTCATTCCATCAAGAAATACATGAAATATCGCGAATTTTTTATTTTAGAATGCATCGCGAGTACTAATACTAGAATGATGCCAGGTATCGAAGTATACACGGTGTACTACTGAAAATAGGAAAGTTTGTACCGACTACCAGTATAACCGGAATTGTTGAAAACATGTCAGTATTTTCATCTGATAGATCATACCAAATAAATCTAAATATGCTCATTTCCAAAATATAATGAGTCCTATCATTTCCCAATATTGGGGTAACCGAAGGTTATCGTGCTATACTCCGTATATTGAAGTATTTCAATTCAACTTGAGATAACATAAGAACACATAAAGTTGGTATGAACTTCCGGTTGTGAATCAATTGTATCATTGAAAACCAGTGTAATAATCCACAACAGGTTTCTGCTAAGTGGTAATTCTATTCGTAGTTCGTTTATTGACCCCCATCATTATATTTATAGATAATACAAGGTTCAACATTTTTTTCTTTGGAAGATATAAGAATCTATTTTACTAGTTATATTCTACTGTATATTCGAGGTTCGCCAATAAATTCTGAAAGTAATGCACAATGAAGTTTTTTAGTATTATCCCTATCATCTTTCATGATGAGAAATGGCCAAATTATGCCTTCATGATAAACTCATCACAATTTCAAATAAAATCAATATACCCTGTTACAAATCAGATGAAAATTTAAATTTTCCAACCAATATTTTCTGTATGATTAGCTTAATATACTAATGTTTTCGACATAAAGCGAGTGCACCCCTTCCCTCCCCAGATATGATAAAAGGGGAGCGTTTATATATGAAAATTACCTTTTCATCACTGTTTCTCCGTACCACTAGATTTTTGGAGGCTGAAATTTTGTATGTAGGTTTGTTTTATATTATAGTTGTGCAATAGAAAATACTAATTAATACATTTATTGTATGATTTTTAGTATAAAGGGTTTTACAAAAAACGCAACACGTATTTAGCTATACAATAGCTTCCTCAAGCGCTTCACGACATACATTTGAATCAGGTGCAATGCGATCTTCGTTTTCTATTTGTCACCACAATGAAAATATATACGGCTTGTGAGATCGAGGAGGCCCCTCAATTGCATTCCTGTCGTTTGAAAGATAACGCATATTTTGTGAGTTAAATGTGGGAGAGCTATATTATTGAAACCTCATTTTTTCTTCATATCCTAAACATATCCAGTTTGTTGACGTCATATACCTTACAGATAAAAAAAAACGTTTACATTTGATTCACATTCATGCTCTCTAGGTATTCAATAAAAGTATTTGAGTTGGAAACCTTATCCATTTTCACAAAATCTAGTTTCACGACATGTTTCGCTATCGCAATAGCTTTATGGTAGTGAATAATGTACTGACAGTTAATTATTTACTCTGGTTTTTATATACCCCACGTAATCACAAGTGAGGTCTCGATTACCTGGAGCATCTACTCAACTTTTATATACTTAAGGTAGATCCTTAAATTATGAATACCTGAAGCATTGGGAAAGAAAGTTTTTGGTTTTCAACCAGTGGCGGATTTACCAGCAGGCTAAGTAGGCTTGAGCCTAGGGCGGCAGATTTCTGGGACGGCAACTTTGGGGAACAATTTTTTTGCTTTATCATGGAAATTAAAAAGATTTTGACATGACGGTTGTTTGATGTCTTACAGATAGAATTCTGCAACAAATTTTGCCGATGACTTTCCTCCTCTCACGAATTGTTTGAGCGAGAGAAGCTTTTCTTGTCTGAAAACGCTAAAAAATTATCTGAGATCGACCTTGAGCCAAGAAAAATTGAACGCCCTTGCTCTTTTTTGCATAGGGTCAGAATTATTTAATAAGATTATTTATGCAACGAACTTTTATAACTTGACTGAGTTAATTTTTTCAACTGTTCGGAAGCGCAATAAAGAATATTTATTCACGTTTACCAACTGTACCTTATTGTGTGAGTAGAAAATATTACCCCGCTCGTAAATGATAGAGCCTTTGATTAGTTCAAAAATATATTAAAATTATTTTACTTGAAATTTCAACGAAATTGTTGGGATTGTCCAAATAATGTAGGGCATGACAATAATTGTAGAGGCAAGGGCGGCAAAAACTGTACAGCCTTTAGCTTGAAAATTTGTAAATCCGCCACTGCTTTCTACTACTCCATTTTGATACAAAAAATGTGGGAATCTTCCAAAGAAAGGAAGGAAGCAATCAATTTTAAAAGAAGTGACTCTATATATAGATGTGTAGATCATGCAAAGAAGTAACTTTCAGACACAAACTGGAAGAAAAAAAAGCCATCCTGAAAGAGCTACTTTCCTATAAACATTGAATTACATGAAAGAAAAATTCTTTCGAGACAAATACTTTCGTATGAACACTGAATTATGCAAAAAAACTTTTTTCTACTCAGTTTGTATTCCAAACATTCGTTATGGAATTACAACAGATATCTTTCATAGGAGTTCTACACAATATATTGAAGAAAGTTAAAAATTTCACTTACATGGAATACTGTCGTCCTTAATGGTAGGTAATTTTTCACCATAGGACACTTGCCTTAGGACCTCTTCAGTACTAATCCGAAATATATTATAAGAAAAAAACCACACCATAAATTACAATTTTTATGTCACGGAATAAGTTTGATCTACTTTTGTCATCGATGACATCGTAATGACACTCATTCACTTACTTAATGTCATTACGATGTCATCGATGACATAAGTAGATCAAACTTATTAGGTGACAAACTTATTATAGTGTGGTTTTTTCTTATAATATTATCCGGGTTGATACTAAAAAGCCCTAAGGCAAGTGTCTTACGGCGAAACATCGATGTCTACTATTGAGGATGACGGTGTTCCATGTAAGTGAAATTTTTAACTTCTTTCAGTATATTGTGTTGAAATCCTATGAATGCTATCTGCTATAATTCCATAACGAATGTGTGAAATACAAACTGAGTAGAGAAAAGTATTCATATGAAAGTATTTGTTTCGAAAGAATTTCTCTTTCGTGTAATTCAATGTTTATAGGAAAGTAGCTGTTTCAGGACGGCTTTTTTTCTTCCAGTTATTGTCTCAAAGTTACTCCTTTGCATGATCTAGACATTTATATAGAGTTACTTCTTTTAAAATTGATTGCTTTCTTTGTTTCTTTGGGAGATTGCCACAGTTTTTGTATCAAGATGGAGTAGTAGAAAGCCAAAAAATTCATTTCCTAAAAATCGGTCACTCCTAAAAATATAACCCTTTCATTCATACAGAATCAATTCTGCATCAATAGTACAATGTCTACGAAGACCAAGATATATCGGTTTCTGAGAAAACAAGTTCAGTAATGGTGGTGAGTAAAGAATTAACTTTAAGTATGTTATTGACTACGAAAAAGCTACTGTGCTAACGAAACAAATTTTTGAAAATGAAGTTTGTGAAGATCAAATCGTAAGGTGTAGTTCATGATATGCAGATCTTCATCAAGTAACGGCCGAATCAATCAGAAAAAAAAAAAATTGATATGGGAATATGCATGTTGCGGAAATGAATAATAGAATTACGTTTCCCTCTCGGGTACCTACTTCACATGAGCTTTACAATAGTAAAGCATACGAGCATCAATCGCACTGCGAAATATGCGGACCCTGTTGAATGAATTGTTTACGAGTTTGTGCGAATGCGCACGTACGCAAAGTTCCTCTGTATAGACTCATAAACGACAATACATTTCAACAACGTCCGCATAACTTCAAGTGCGTTGATTGTATTCTCATGTTCATCGGATCTGAAGAGAGATAAATTCATTTGCAGGATGGAGTCAACACCACCTATTTTTTAGCACCGATACATACTCTTTCACAATTTTCAATAGAATTTTATTCAACATTCCAACTGACTCAAAAAAGACATTTTTACTGAAAATTGAGCATTGATACATTAACTTGTTTTGATTACGTAATTGATATTATTCCAATGACGAAGTGTCAGTAACTTGCTGAAAATCAGCTAGGGCATATACATTTCACTCGAGCAAATATGAAGAGATATTGAAAATCGAAAAATGGTTTCAAAAATTAGAGTTTGAATAAAAACTTCGAATGGAAATATCGTGAAAGCCCACTGGATGTTCTCATGAAACATTTTAAACGTATTTGTTTTAGCTTTAAGTGTGAAAAAAATTCACAGAAATGTGTAAATTGTCAATTATTGGATTATTTTCTATAATGAATATACATTTCAGAGTGACACCATTGTTGATGCAATCTACATGAGTGACTGGTATACTTACGATTTGAAGTCTAAGAAAGCTCTGCTCATATTCATGGAAACAGTAAAACGACCAATGAGAGTGACTGCTGGGAAATTGCTAGATCTCTCTCTGGATACTTTTATGATGGTGAGTGCGAAAATATTTCTTAAGAAGAATTTGAAATGGATCAGAGGAAAAGGTGTGGTTGTTTGAATCTCCAAATGTCCTCATTTATTTCAAATTCAGGGTGTCGGGTATCTCCTCTCGACATAGTCATCAGAATTATTTTGATATATTAGGGTATTGGTACAGAGTGGGCCAACCTGGACACTTTTGACACTGTTTTCAAACCAGATAGATGAAAACTGATAATTGTGTCTGAGAGTCAAATTTTGTGGAAACTGCTTATCAATATCATCGTTTTTGAGTTACAGCATGTTTTTCAAAAATGTGCATTTTCGAATAGTTGCTTTAACTTTTTCCTGTCACAATTTTTTCATGAAAACAATTTCTACGCCTTTTTTCACGTAGAATTCAATGATATTTTATCAGTAACACGACTATTTTCCATAATACTATATTAAATGAGCCAATTGCTCTTGATATCAACCTAACATTGGATACAGTTGGATATGGACAATATACTGGGGGTTATATCTTGGACCTTGACTATAGCAATAAGCCAGTTTGAAGGCAGATTCGCATACTGAAAATCGTTGTGAAGTCGATTGGTTTGAATTCTGTTTCATACTTTCTCACAATTTTTAATTTTTTTGAACATCCTTGTAATTTCATGATTACTCCTATTGCTAACCTTGTTCAATCTTCGGATAACTTCATCTGTATAAATGGAGGTGCTTCTTCGACAGGAACGTGGGGGTACAGGTTTTATTCGTCGAAATTATTCTTTGACGTCATTCTGCGACTTCCATTGCTTCCAGTAGTAACTTGATATAATGCCTTGAAGTGTAACATTCCATTTTTCCTTTTTTTCATTTTATATTGAAAACAAAGAAATTTTTTTTTATTTTAACTTGTAAATTGTAACATACCAATTATTTGAATTTCTATTTAAACTGCACAGATCTGGGATGCTTCTGAGCAGTCCACAGTAGTTCGTCAAATGAATCATAGTCAGAATGATGACACCTATTCAAAATCCATATTGTTTATTTTGATTATTTTTATTCATATATACATAAAAATATCAACTAGTTCTCTCCTTCTTTTATTCAGTCAGTCAGACTGTATTTTCATAGTGTAGTGTAACGTAGAGTGAGAAAATACAGAGAGAGATATGTCATACCCAGAAGCGGTAGGCTTTGTGTATATGTCTATTTTAACAGGTGAAAGAATCGCTTGAACTTTGAATTGATACCGATTCCTCATGTGAAGGATGAAGTTTTCAAAGAGTCTTTTTTTGTGCCCGGGTTCGTATAGAGAATACGTAGTGGTGATTTTAACGAAATTTTTGAGAATCATGTGTCAGAAAAACATCCAATTTTTAAGTTCTGCCGGACAAAATTATCAAAAGCACCAAAGTCATAAAGATGATAGGATCATAGGAAATCGTAGAATCGTAAAAAGCAGACCACCAAAAAAGCATGAGAACCAACCACTGACAGCATAAAAACAGAAATAAATTGGACACAACTAGAAGATCGTCTTGGACGTATCTGGCTGCACTGTAAAATATAGATCTGAGATGGCTACTGCTGGAATCCCGGATCTCAAGAATCAGAGGAGTCTACATGGAGTTTGACTTTTCTTGAAGTTTCTGGAAATGGGATTTCAACCAGGAGTTATAAGGTTTAGTGTATTGAACCCGAGGGTAAGACCCGGTATTTTGTTATTATTACAATTGAGGCCATCATTGGATAGAGTAGAACATTTCAGGACAATGACATTCTGATTTTTCCAACAGTGACCATTTATTTTAATGTTGATTTGGTATTTCTCTTGACCAATTCATTTCAAGTTCGGGAATGTAAAACTATCAAGTGAACAGTGTCTCTTGTGTTAGTGGTGTGCTTGCAAGAACCGATCTGCGCCCTTGCTTACACAAAGCAAGAGCTAGTGATTCCAACTGGGCACATGTACCGCTTTCTTGCTCAAGATCAGATATGAGTAAGAAAACGTTATAGGGTACACAAGCCTGAGGTTTTTCCTTGTGAAGGTTGAATGATTGGAGGTATTAATCTGGACAAGTTTTGAGTGGAAAAATCTCTAAAGCTAATGATCGGTCTGAACGGAATATCTCTTCTTCTTTGCTTTGATGCTATTATGTTATTACAGTTTGTTGAGAAGTTTAATCATGACTTTCTTCTTTTCAGATAATCAAGCGCTCATATTCTCTGTTGGCCGTACTAAGAAATTATTAGCAGAACATATCAGGAAAATATCTTGTTTCACTTGATTAAAACATTTGCACATTCACTACACAGTATGGATATTCTATTTGCAATGACATAATCAAAGAGATAAGGAGAGGAAACATTTGCTGTTTGAGAGGTAAAACGAACAGTAACGAATTCGGTACAAATAGAAGAGGAATAAACATCTAGGAAAAATATGTATTTTTATCTTTTTGGATGATGCAATAGATAGATAGTGCCTAGAGGATGACAGCACGATCAGCTGTCGAGAGTGCTTGCAGATAAACAAATAGAAGTTATAGAGCTTCAAATCCTTTTTGTAACTTACATTAATAGTAAAAAAGTATTTTTATCTGTATTTCAATAATGTATTTTGATGCACAAAAAATATATCACCCTCAATCAAATTTGTATTTTTGAATAACCATCTTTTGAGAGCTTGTGATGCACTGTTTGGAACCTTTGAGGTAGTAAGGAATATCACATGAGTTTAATCTCAACACCGAATCTTTATTTTTAACACCTTGATACTTGCTTCGATAACCAAATGACTTTCAGATTGTCAATTATCAAAATTCAAATATTTCCACTTTCCTCTCTCTCTTTGGTTGCTACCACGCCACCGAGTAAGTGCCAAGCATAAGCTAGTGAAATATTTTTTTAAATGTTTAAATGAAATGAGTTTTTTGAGTTCTTATACTTTTTTTCTGTACTGTTTAATTGAATATGTGACACTTTTCTACATGATGAAAAGTATCAACTTTGCTTTTCTCATTGCCACGTCTGACTTTTTACTGTAACCTCAATTTAGTAAGTACATTTTTTACCTAGGTATCTGTTTTATAATTTTGTTGCGATGTTTAAAATTTCTTTTAGATGTATTGATAAAGGGAATAAACATTTCCGAATGCTCAACCATATGACAAAGAGTATTCTTCAAACAACAGCCCAGTAATTTTGACTGCATCCCCAACAATATTCCATATTTCTTCTTAACTAGTTAGTGAAGACTATCCTTCGCTTTCTACCTTCTAGAAATGGGGTTCTTCACTAACATCCGACAGCAGTTTGGTCTATAGTTGCAGACATGAAAATATGGACAAAAGCGAATATCAAGTTGGCGTCGATGAAAAACAGAAAGCTGTTCTTGCTGAATTGTCGAAGGTACCACATATTTCCAAATTACGTAACTAATGGTTTCGGCAACTTGACAACATTACTTTACCACCGAGGACGATCCATGCAGAGTTTCAATCACAGGTTGAAGAAAAATATTTTTAACTTAGAAATTAAAATCACCTCCAGTAAAATCAAAAAATCAAAAAGGAGTTCAAACGACCTGAAGCGAATATTATCTGCCACCTTGCCGGCCACCACTTTTGAAGAATATGAACGAAGGCTTACAATTAAATATAATATACTATTTATATATTGAAAATATACTTTTCAATGTTGACAAAAATGTTCAGGATATTCATCCTGCTCCATGTACAAATATCATCAAAAATTTTCTTCATTAAAATTCAGATAATAACCATTTTTTTAAAAAAACTTTTGACCAATGCCGATCCTTTTTAAAACAACACCCTGAAATCTATGTAGTAAGAAGTAATAAAGGCAATGTGACAGTGATAATGTTCAAAGATAATTACTCTACTAAAAGTGCTGAATTACTTAGTGACACAAAATATTATAAAAAGTTGTATCATAATCCAGTGAGCACCTTACAACAAAAAGCAATTGAAATGGTTTCTAAGATTGAGGATAAAATGGTGAATGAAAATACAGCCAAAAAGCTGACCATTTATAACGCAGTAACTCCTAGATTTTACTCTTTGCCTAAAGTACACCAACCTGAACTGTCGATGAGACCCATTGTGTTATCAATAAATTCACCTAATAGCAAACTGGCTAAATGGTTGGCCAATATTTTGTCTTTGTTATATAATACTGACAACGATTTTTATGTGAAAGATTCCCCTTTCTTTAGCAACTTCATTAATGATCACAAACTTACAGAAAACTATGTACTAGTGAGTTTTGATGTAGTTTCTCTTTTCACTAACTTACCATTAAATGTGATAAACAATAGCTTACAAAACCACTGGGATGTCATCTCTCAACATTGTATGCTTGATTTCCCAAATTTCAAATCTATTTTAGAGTACATTTTCGACTCCGACGTCCTAGTTTTTCAGGAAACATTTTATAAACAAATCTTTGGTACCCCAATGGGTTCAACCATTTCCCCCTTTTAGTACATTTTGTTTTAGACGACCTGATTATGAATTCAAAAGATAGAATCCCTTTTAATATTCCTTTCATTAAACGATACGTGGATGATTTGATCATATCTGTTCCTCGTGGGAGAACTGAGGAAGTGTTAACAACTTTCAACAGTTTCAACGAACATTTACAATTTACAGCTAAGGGAGAAGGTAACAACAGTTTACCATTTCTAGATATGTGTGTATGCAGAGATCCAGATAATGTCCTACGTACTAAATGGTATAGGAAACCATGTGCCAGTAACAGGTTACTGAACTACCATTCTTACTATCCAACGGAGATGAAAATAAACTTAATCCTAACCATGAAGAAAAGGGTGATCAATTCAACAAATCCAGTTTTTAAAGACGAATGAATCAACGAATCAAAAGGTATTCTTCGTGAAAATTCACATCCGTGAAAACTTTTGAATAAATAACTTTTTAGTTCTTCATCCATAGTCACGAATGCATTCCCAAATAATTTAAATAATTCTATTAACAATAACAATCAAAATAATAATTCAAATTTTTCAAATAGTGGAGAGATATCTCCGAATACTTTATTTTTCAGCTCACTTCCATATTTTCAGTCTTTAACAACTAAACTCCTTATTCGTCTCACTTCTTATGGAAACACCCCTGTATCTTCTGTAATATTAGAGGTGAAACGATGAAACTCTCAGAACTGATGGAAATGCTCAAATAGGTGTTTCCAAGATTTTTTAAACCATTGAAACCAAGAGTTTTGATTGAAGAATGTATCACCGATATATTGTTGCAACTACGTTTGCCACTACTATCTTCTGCTGAGTAAACACGGATAGGATGATTCACTCCTTCATTGGACTGTTAGAATAAAGAAATCGAAACAAAACTGCTCAAAACTGAATTAGATATTAGTTCGTTTGAGGGCTCAGCCAGAGGACCAAACTCAGTGTCTTTTAGAGTTCCCACTTCCTTTTCTGTCAAAGCTTGACGGTTTTGCTGCGAGTCTTCCACCAAACTGCACAACTCCAGTTCTGGAACTGTCTGTACATGCCAATACATTTTGTTCATAGGAAACATTGATAATTCACTTAGGGTTTTTGATTGAGGAATTGTACCTAAACAAGAAGCTGCATTTCCTCTTTGAATCAGAATGCTAATTTTTTGAATCAAGAAAGAGGTAGCTCTTGNAAAATTTGTTCGATTTGAGCGAATTTCAACTTCCTACTGAATTTCTAAAATTACATTCAGATCAATGGAAATCTGATAAAAATTGGTTCCAATTAACATTCACCTTTTTAGCCTCACAACTCAAAAAATGTTGATTGGAAAGTGTTTGCTTAAGCGAACTTTTTTGTAGCAAATTCAATTCCCTACAGATTCTGCACACTCATTTTTAAAAAAAAGTTTCAGTATCAAAAAACCGAGTTGAAAACGACAAAAATTTGCCGATTTATTTATATGTGAAATCAAATTTTCGACCGAGCGAGACAATAGGCTTGTGATATGAGAAATAAAAAACATACGTTTTTGAATGAAAATTTAAAAGATATCTAGAGAAAACTGCATCGATTGTTGTTCCATGTTTTGTGGTAGGCTCATTTTTTCGTTATTATTCATTTGTAGTTCTAATCTATCTTGTAGAAAGTTTACCAGGAGTTGTCATCTCCGGATGCGAAATTAACATTGAAATCTCCTGCTTAAACTACAAGGCAATGTATGATAGTTTTCTCCTGATTCTTTAGAGCCTACTCGACCATCAATGTGTGCTCGCACCTCTCTCCCTCTTGCCCCTTCAGTAATATACGAAACGTACCTCTCCCTCTTTCAGTCTTCACTGACTTATACCTCCCTCTCAACTTCCGTTCGCCTCGTCCGATCACACTTCGTAACGCTATTGTCACGCATTCACCAGCTTACTTCCGAAGTCAAGCGCGCGTAAATAAGTTTTACTTAAAAAATTGTTTAATTTAAAGTGTTTTCCCATTTTATAAACCATTTTCCTTGCACCATCAGAGGGCCTCGCGAAATGTACCTTGCACATATTCAAATTAGGTCTTGCGCCGCCACTGCATGCAATTCTCTGCACCATGCTTATTTTGTTAAAAGCGATTGTCTGTTTCATTTCTGGCATCCATATACATATATTATAATGAGTTTACACACCATGGATTAGAGTCAATACATTATGTCGATTTTAACACTCCATGTCTTTCCGTAGGTGAGTCTGGTCAAAATAAAAGCTATTTTCGCTTTTCTTTTAACTCTTTCTAGTGAAAACACTAGAAGATATTGGTATATGAGGTGATGCTCTGAACGTGTTCAAGATCTATCTTGCCAGTGTGTAAAAATTGATGACATTTTGAATGATGCACAAGAAACTGTTATAGGAGTCCTCCAAGGCACAGTTCTGAGACCAATTTTATTCAACATATATGTTGAAGGACTACATTTCCATCAGAAACACAGGTAAAATATAGGGTTTCGCAGATGATACAGCCATTTTTCATAAGGCAAATAGCTGTGAGCAACTGGAACATGTAGTTAAATGGGATTTCATTTTGATTAAAAATTGGCTCAAACATGGATTATTGACAGTGAATCTGGATAAAACTCACTATATACCTTTCAGATGCAATAATTCCAGCAAACCTTGTTGTTCACAACTGAAAATTTATTAATATGTAATACTTCCCGAAGCTGAAGTGAAATACTTCGGAGTAATAATAGATTCACATTTTGAATTGGATGCTCATATTCAGTATATCTGTATGAAGTTGCGTTGTATACTTTTCAAATTTAAATTTTTGGTTAAAATATTAACGAACTCTAACCTCAAAATTGTGTACCATGCACTTGTAGCGACTCACCCGAGATACGAAATTGCCTGTTGGGAAGGAACCTACCATACGCACCTTCGCTCTCTTGGGGTGCTACAAAACAGGTTACTGAAAATAATATTGTCCAAACCGCCTTATTATTCAACTGAAACTCTGTTCAACGAAGCAAAAGTTTTTCATATTCGCCAGATCTTTTATTATAATATTATCATCCATTACCATCAGAACAGAAATTTCTCTC